GGGGCTGCCGGACCTGCTCCGCTTTCTCTTTTACGGGATGCACGGCTTTTTGGATGAGATCTTCTTCACCTTCTTCTTTGACGTGCTGGGCCAGGGGGACCGGGCCACCAGCGGCCACACGTCGCTCTGGTCCTTCTTCATGTACGGCAGCTGCAGCTTCGTGGTGGAAAAGCTCTATTTCTACCTGCACTACAGTCGCGGCTGGAGCACCTGGCAGCGGGTGCCCATCTATGTGATGTTCATCTACCTGTGGGAGCTGTCCTGGGGCCTGGGCCTGCGCGCCTGCGGAGCCTGCTCCTGGGACTATTCCCACTACCCGCTCAATTTCATGGGCCTCATTACCCTGATGTATTTACCTGGTTGGATATTCCTTTGCGTGTACCAGGACCTGCTTTCCAACGCGTTGTGGCGAGTGCAGTACATACCAGCGGACTAAAACAAACCGGGCTCTGGATTCCCATCCATGAATGCGATTTATTTTTACACGTTTAAAACGGAGTGGTCTTCTTGGCGTTTTAATTTTCATGCGTTGTACTAAACTCTTGCAACAAAGGTCATCTTATCTTTTCGTTTTTTCTGGCTGTTTGGTACCCGTGCATGATACCTTACTTGGAAATATTACTCAAAGTACTAACTCGTCCATATTGTAAAAACCCTCACAAGCCCAAACATCGGGAAGCTGTAGGATTCGCCTGTGTGGGCATAGGTGGCTGATAACTGCTGTTTTTTTTTTTATTTTTATTTTGGTGAGGAAGTTCTTCAAACCAGAGGCCAGTGATTTTTACCAGATTTAGCAGAATGTTGTGGTTTAATGGTGTGTTTACTTTCTTTTGAATCCAATTTCACCTTAATTCCTTGCCATATTTATCGAAGACTGCCGAAATCCAGTGTCTTGTACTCCTGAAACTACAGTTCATAGCTCTTAAGTGCCTCCCTTCTAGCCTACAAAGTGGAAAGAAACTGACTAATGTGAAACCATCCTATGAACTGATGTTTAAATAAGTCTTTTCTAGCAACCCCAACAGGTGACACTGTGTTAAGTGTTTGATCTCCATCCGGGAAATGATGGTTTTCCAACGTGAGTTAGCCTTAAACTCCGAGGTTGATCAGATCCTATGTTATCTGTGGCCCTCCATGTTTGTTACTGTGTAATAATGTAAAATGTTTACCTTCCATGTCCAAGGGCCAAGCCAAATTATACCACCCTCAGTAGTGTTCAACCCTTAGGGCCCTTTCTCCGTGGAGCTTCAAGAGTAGAAACAATTCCTTGAAATAACATGAACTTGAACGTTCGCCCTAATTGCATTAGGCCTACCTGTTTTCTGCATATTTCTGCCATGGCTCACTTGTAAACATTTTTCTTTTTCCTTCTGGGCCCACTCAGAGTTCTTGGGCGAAGCCTGGTGTGTAATTCAAACTATAAATCGATAGTGTTTTGGTGACTCATTATTAATGTCTGCAAGTTCCAAAGTTAAATGAGATGATGTAAACCATTTAAAGAAATCATGTCTAATCTATTAAACATGTATTTAAGGTTGTTTGCTGTTTTTATTAAATGTTTAAAAAAAACAACAACAAGTAGAGCCCTAACTGGTTTGGCTCAGTGGATAGAGTGTCAGTCAGCCTGTGGACTCAAGGGTCCCAGATTCGATTCCGGTCAAGGGCATGTACCTTAGTTGCGAGCACATCCCCAGTGGGGAGTGTGCAGGAGGCAGCTGATCAATGTTTCTCTCTCATCAATGTTTCTAACTCTCTATCCCTCTATCCCTCTCTCTGTAAAAAATCAATAAAATATATTAAAAAAGGAAAAAAAAGAAAATGAATAATGTTATAAAATAAATAAATAAATAAAATAAAAAAACAAGTAGAATTGAGTATGGCTCAGCTGAGGATGACTAATAGCTTCTCAGTTTTCATTATAAACATCATTAGGAAAAACTTAGTGTGTGCAAATGAATGGTTTCTTATCCAAATTATTAGCTTGCCTATGCTGTGAAAGGGAACTTCTTCCTTTTCTCAAAAATAAAAACCAACAAAAAAAAAAACAACACTTTTGCTATAGCAGTAAAGATGAATATATCTTTAGATTTGATTAAGGCAGACGTAATTGTGAGAATATATTATTTTAATCCACTATGAGGTTGTGAGCTAAGTTATAAGTAATGCTATATAATCAACCCCACCCGTGATATTGATCATGTCAAACTGATTTTTTTAGTCAGTCAAAGCTGAGTAGAAATGTAACAGTAAGCTCAAATGTTTTCAGAGAGTGAAAATCATTTTATGATACTTGGTCATGGGTAAAAGATTCCTCAAAACCATGACGGGGAAAAGTGTAACTAAAGTTAGGCAGATGCTGAACAAAATATTAGTAATTCAAGTGTGACACATGGGCATAAATCTGAGTTAACCAAATCCATGTCTTCTGAAATCCTTGCTACATGTACATCTTTGCCCTTATGCCCTTCACAGGCTGCTCCTCAGCCCTACTTACTTGCTTACCAGCCTTCTCAGGGTCTGTCAGGAAGTGGGAAAGCCTGCTACTGTTTGCTTGTGAGTGATCATCTTATTTAATGGAAAGTCAAGGTTTTCATTCATTCCATTCACTCAAGAAGTAGTTAGAGCACCTGTTTGCTGGGCTCTCGCTTGGACTCAGGTACAGCAGTGACCCAACGCAGACAAAATCTCTGTCATTATAAAGCTCACTTTCTAGTGGTTTTATTTATATGAGATGATACTTATTTGCAAGGCTACTGTTTTAGTAGTAAACTCTGAAAGCAACTGTTATGAGGGCTTTCATCAGGCCAGCCCCTGGCAAAAGCCTTTTAACAGTCTGTCTGCGAGTTTTACAAAGAGCTTGTTGATGTGTGTGTATTCAGGGAGGGATTGCCCTGTCCCTTAACTCAGCACCTTGCTCTGGACATATCATTCTGTGTTTACTCAACTTCTCACAAGTGAGGTTTGGCTACAACTTTGAACCTTCAAAGACAAAGCAGGAAAAGAACCATCAGATCAATCAATTTAGTTGCTCATTAGTAGTTCAGATATAGAAATGATAAGGTAATGTAATAATAGGTAATACCTGAGTAGCACTACCTTCTGAGAACTGCTGTATTATTTATAAAATTGTAAGCAAATATATGTACTAGTATATATCCATATATATCTTAAATGAATACACACTCACACACATATATATATAATACATCTTAAGTAAAGATATATAATCTTAATTAAATATATCCATACATATATTAAGGTCATACATATATATGACACAAATATACCTATATGCACATATACACACATTTACTTAAACCTCTAACAACCCTCCTTTTACAGATGAGAACAGTGAAAATGAAGTCCAAAGATGTTAAGTAACTGCCCAAGTCATACAGCTATTGAACATTTAGACTTGTGCCTCTGTCTACTGACCACAGTGATTTGGAGTCTCCTATGGGCTTCACCTTACAATCTGTATTACTCTTCCCTCCCCTATCACAGATGCAAGGGCAGCTGCAGAAAAGCCAGACACTAGTAGCAAAAACACTCTTTCATGTTGCCTTTAATTATCTTTTGGAGACATTTATTCTGAGTTCTATTAAACACCTAGACTCTAAGAAAGTTCTTAATAGAAAAACATAGAGAAGTAACAAAATGGTTTTTCCTCCATGTTTAACTTATACAATGCTGAAATTTCTTACTAGACGTGCTTTAAATTTTAAATAAGCTCTATTTTAGTTCTGAATCTAAAGAGAAATACAACCTTTAAAATTTTTCATATTAACAAATACAGAAGTTCCTATGTTATACGAAGACTCCAAATCAAGTTGATATCCCATTTCAATATTTCATACATTTCAGTGACTTTGTGCAATTAACTTTGAATATTTTATTATAAATATTTAACATTTCATATTTCAACTCACCAAAAAACAGCTTGAAAAATATGACCTGTTCTATGTTATTTAAAAAAACAAGACCCCCCACACATTTCTAATTGATTAATTCTACCCCTTTGGGGGGGGGGGGGGAGGGGGAAATGTCTACTGTTTTGCAATAGTCTCTGTTGACATAGCGGACCTGGTCCTGTTTATAAGGATGGTGAAGAAGAATTTGTTAGGCTGCTTTAGTTCCTTCTCCACTTCCAAAATACACTTAAAAAATCAATATGCTTGGACAGGGAGTTATACTCATGATATGGGCTTAAAGTGATAAATAAATCATTGGATTGGAAGCTTTTTAATACGATCAATTTTTGCTCATATTAAAAGGCATTAAAACCCTTTGCCTTTTAAATTAATTTTAAATATATTACCCTCAATATATTTCCCAACAGTGCTGAACGGAACTAAGCTGCTTTACTGAAGGAAAGGAGACACACCCTTCACCTCCTCCCATCACAAACATGCCTCAGCTAATGCTGAAGGGAAAGACAGCAGGAAAAGATGGGTCTGTTGTGTTGTAATTTTTTTTTTTTTTTATGTTCTTAGATTTGGTATCAGAGGAACCAACAAAAATAGCAATTGTCTGTGTGGACTTTTATTCGTTAGAATTGGCCACATTCTTACTTTTAACACTAAGGCATGAGACATGACACAAACAATGGCTTCCAGTCACTAGTAACCCAAATTGTAATTAACCTGGGATGTGTAGACAGAATATATTTTTTCTTTTTTTAAATATGTTTTAAAATATTTTTTATTATTGATAATATTACAGATATTCCATTCCTCCCCCCTCCTCCCAACTCCTAACCCCTCTCCCCCAGGTCTTCACCACCCTATTGCCCATTTCCATGGACTATGCATATAAGCGTATCCTATATAATAAAGAGGTAATATGCAAATTGACCATCACTCTAACACACAAGATGGCCGCCCCCATGTGGACACAAGATGGCCAGTAGGGGAGGGCAGTTAGGGGGGACCAGGCCTGCAAGGAAGGGCAGTTGGGGGGACCAGGCCTGCAGGGGAGGACAGTTGGGGGTGATCGGGCTGGCAGGGGAGCAGTTAGGAGTCAATCAAGCTGGCAGGAGAGTGGTTAGGGGGTGATCAGGTTGGCAGGCAGAAGCGATTAGGGGCAGGAGATCAGTTGGGAGCCAGCTGTCCTGGATTATGAGAGGGATCTCCCACTGCTCGTTTAGGCCCTATCCCACCGGGCCTAAACAGACAGTCGGACATCCCTTGAGGGGTCCCAGATTGCACGAATTTAGTGCAACGGGCCTCTAGTAAGTATATAAGTTCTTTGATTTATCTCTTCTCATCCCCCACCCCACATTGAGGTATGTGTGTCTGTTCCATGCCTCTCTGCTTCCTGTCTTATTTTTGTTGGTCAGTTTGTGGTTCATTAGCTTCCACAAATAAGTGAAATCATGTGATACGTTTCTATCTCAGTTTGGCTTATTTCACTTAGCATAATATTTTCCAGGTCCAACCATGCTGTCCCAAAGGATAAGAGATCCTTCTTTTTTACAGCTGTGTAAATGTCCATAGTGTAAATGTCCCACAGCTTTTTTATACATTCATCTACTGATGGGTACTTGGCTGTTTCCAGATCTTACTATTGTCAATAATGCTGCTATGAACATAGGGGTGCATATATTCTTTCTGATGTCTGTTTCAGGTTTCTTAGGATATATTCCTAGAAGTGGGATCACTGGGTCAAACGGAAGTTCCATTTTTAATTTTTTGAGGAAACTCCATACTATTTTCCTTGCATTCCCACCAGCAGTGAACTAGTGTTCCCTTTTCTCCACATTCTTGCCAGCACTTGTTGTTTCTTGATTTTTTTATGATAGCCATTCTGACAGGTGATAGTTCATTTTAGTTTTAATTTGCATCTCTCTGTTGATTAGTGATGTTGAGTATTTTCATATGTCTCTTGGCCATCTGTATGTCCTTTTTAGAGAAGTGTCTATTTAGGATCTTTGCCCATTTTTAAATTGGATTGTTTATCTTCTTGTTGTTGAATTGTATGAGTACTTTATATATTTTGGATAATAACCCCTTAGCAAATGTATCATTGGTATATATGTTCTCCCATTCAGTAGGTTCCATTTTCAACTTGATGGTGGTTTCTTTTTTTATTTTTTAATATATTTTTATTGATTTCAGAGAGGAAGGGGGAGAGAGAGATAGAAATATCAATGATGTGAGTGAATCATTGATCAGCTGCCTTTTGCAAGCCCCCTATTGGGGATTAAGTCCACAACCTGGGCATGTGCCCTTGACCGGAATCATACCCAAGACCCTCCAGTCCGCAGGCCGTCGCTCTATCCACTGAGACAAACCGGCAAGTGCGATGGTGGTTTCTTTTGCTGTGCAGAAGCTTTTTATGTTAATGTAGTCTTATTTGTCAGTTTGCATATTACCCTTTTATTATATAGGATAGAGGCCTGGTGCACGGGTGGGGACCAGCTGGTTTGCCCTGAAGGGTGTCCTGTCTCAGGGTGGGGGTCCCGCTGGGGTGCCTGGCCAGCCTGGGTGAGGGGCTGATGGCTGTTTGCAGGCTTGTCAACCCCCTCCAGTGGGGACCC